TGTGTGTGTGTAAGCAGTTTATCTAAACTGATAAGAGAGGATGTAGCTCTTGTAGTTTCCTACACAGATAAATATCAAGAGGGAAAAATAAAAATTCTGTCCACTCCTTTGTCTAAACTGAAATATCCCAACCATAATTAAACAGATGTTTTTCTCACAGTAACTCATCTTTTTAGTTTGGCCAACTCTTATTCATGTCATCATCTTCACCCGTCATTAATGTTTAGTGACATTCTGAATGTGTGAAAACAATTTAAGACATGTGATCCCCAAATTTTGTTGTTTTTGCCATGTCATCTTTTAGTGACTCCCTATTTTATTTTGAAGGCCTGTCCCTCATGTAGCTCTATTTCCTGCCTTTGCTCATTTCCCACTATCCTTATTGTCTAATTTAGTCTATATGAACCTTATACTAGCCATTAACACCTGGTGGGTCTTTAGCATGTATGACTTCTCAGTCTGTCATTTTATCAAGCTTTTATCCTGTGTCTTCTTTCAGCTTTTATAAAACGACTTAGACTTGGAATTTGCTGCTAACGCTCTGCATTGTGTTTTGTTAACAACTTTATGGTCAATAAAGTTACTATTTGCAACCTGCCTCTCTACCTCCTTGTTGTGGTTTTGCCTAAAATGCAACAGATATTAGCAAATAAGACACAATAAACAGTATTGCACAAATAACAAGAATGGAACTGAAAAGAATGAACAAGTGAATAATGCTGAACTGCATGTTGTATGTTTCTAATAATGTCCACAAAGTTATTAATATTGAAGTAGAAGCCTTACTTTGCTTAAACTTGGGTCTTCTTGTATTCTATAGCAATGATTTAGCCAGCTGATTTATCATCAACCATACGGAAACTTCTATCGCTGTACTTGATTATAAAAAATACATTCAGTACTTTTTCTTTAGTTTTGCTATCATGTTTTCATGCTGTGCTTCTGTGAATACTTCTCATTGCTTATATTACATTGTAGACTAAAAAAAAAACTAAGTACGTTTCAAAATTGTTCCATTAAGGAAGCCGGCATGATTGTACCATCCTTTTTAAACAGAAAAGAGAAAGTAAAACAAGTGTTAAAGCGCAAAAATATTACATCAAATATTCCAGGATGCGACATTATAATCGTGTTGTTGTTTATATTTTTTTGACTGTGTTGGCATAATTGTGCTTTAACAGTTATGGCAAAAGAATTTTGTGAATGAAAAAGAAGTGAAGTAATTAAGGGGAAAAGAGAGAAGAATGAGCAACAGTAAACAAAGAAGAGCAGGGTAAACTACAGCGCAAGAGAGGAAAGAGGCAATGAATGAGATCTCGTAGCTCTTATAACAATCGACCACTAATGTCAGGATGTTATATCCATGTAGATCTGATAATGACAGTAATATATCCACCCTGAGCACACGTGTGCACACACGCACATGCACGCACGCGCGCGCGCACACACACACACACACACACACAAATAAATGCATGTGTACACACACACGTTGCCTATGTATCATTTTTCTTGAGCCCTGGGGCGGTGCAGGCCAGCAAAAAGAACTCAGTTAGTTGATCATGACTCTAATATACAACCACCATCAACACCATAAATCTGCAACACACATACACACACACACGCGCACACACACGCACACACAAAGCAGGAGGCTATGCACGCCCAATAAGTACACACACCGCTCTCACACAAACACCCACACAAAATCAATAGTGTAGACAGGAACCATGCGTGGTGATTCAGTGCACCCCCATCCCACCCACGGTCTTTAACTCTGCTGTCGAACAGATGTGTGGCCTTGGACTTGAAATCCTTTTTGTACAGGATGAGGAGAATTTAAATTGTGCAGTGAAAAAGAATTCAGTCTCAAACACAGTGCAAAATAAACTCTGAGAAAACTAGCTGCATGCCTATTTATTTTTTCTTTTAACAATAGTGCCATTATAAAGTAACCTGAGATATTTGGGGAGTTTTTTTACTTACATGCAGATGGAATGAAGGCTCTGCTGTCTTTGTACAGACTTTATGCAAAATAAGGGTAATCAGTGGAACAAACTGGCCATCTGATCTTAACTCTATTCAAAAATATGAGGCGAAGGCAACCAGTGTGAAACCCAGGGAAGTAGTAATAACATTTATATATTTGTACCATTTGAAATTCTAAGTGTAGTCTATAAAAAGATATTTAAATATTCAGAAAATTTTCCTTATTGCTGAGCCATGCTGCCAATACAAAGTGTGTACACTGAGCACATGAAGTGCATACTGTATGTCTTTTGAAACTGAGACTACGCCGAGTAAAGAGTAAATATATGTGGTTAATCATCAGTTTCTACTTGGAAAGGAACAAGAAACAAAAACTGATTCTGCCAAACAAAAATGATTCTCTTTGGCATCGCTTATCACTCAGCTGTGATCACTGAGCATTGATTGGCTGTAATAATAATAATGGATTGGATTTATACAGTGCTTTTCAAGGCACCCAAAGCGCTTTACAATACCACTATTCATTCACTCTCGCATTCACACACTGGTGGAGGCAAGCTACGGTTGTAGCCACAGTTTCCCTGGGGCAGACTGACAGAAGCGAGGCTGCCATAGTGCGCCATCGGCCCCTCTGGCCAACACCAGTAGGCGGTAGGGTAAAGTGTCTTGCCCAAGGACACAACGACCAGGGCAGAGAGCTCGAGGATCGAACCGGCGACCTTCCGGTTACAGTACCGCTTCTAAAAGATGTGCTTTCTTTTACCACCATTATATTTATGTAATGATGATAAAATGAATTAAAAGACGTCTTTTAAGCAGCGGCCCCAAACCTGAAGGAAAAATGTAATTCGCCATTTAAACGAAACACAAAAGAACAAAAACACCATGGTCTGCTGCTAATTTTTAAAGAAAGGAAATTAACTAACATTAAATCCAAGTTTTTGTTGAGAATGTTGTTGAGAATGAAGGGAAAGGAAAACCATAACAGCAATTCAATCCTTTAACCGTTTTGAAGATGCTAGCATCCATTTTTAGTTCATAAAACAGTTCTTGAACTCTAATTACAATCAGCTGATTTCAGTTCACGTGTAAGAGGAGGAAAATAGTGACGCAGTCTAGAGCGTGGATATGAACTTTTTATTGCACAAAAGGACGAGATAAATGGCAAAGTGGAAAATCCTGGACAGAAACAACTGCTTTATGCTGCTAACATAACTTTGGTTCTTTGCAAGCATCCACCGAGAGAGCATGCTAATGCTAAGCTAGCCAAGAACCCAGAGTGAAAGCTCAGTCAATACCGACCTCAGCAGCCAGACCCTGAACTTCAACAGGTAACAAGCAGAGGAGCAAACAGGCTGCAGCCTCCGTTTCTACCTGTTCACGTTTCTAAAGCGGAAGGCGATTGCTTTTTTGTGCTGGTTTTCATCTTTGCTTTGTTGCAGCTAGCTTTGGATTCTACTAAGAGAAAGATCTTAGAGATCTGTGTTCTCACTGGGAATTTGTGTTTGTGTGTGTGGGGTTTTTATATTTTTACATATTGTTATGAAATTAATATAACGAGTAGGATCACAAATTACTTTTTCCTGGGAGTAATCAAGTAATGTACCACATTACTTGAAAGAAGAATGTCCCGTGTAATGTGTGTAATAATGACTTTTTTGAGTGACGACTCCAACACTGATCAAAGCAAAGAGGGCAAATACCTCAGCAAACATTTGACCCACAGCATGCAATTAATTTGCATGAATGTATTTTCTTTACTGCTGCTTAGCAATGATGGTGACTCTTGAAACTGAGCCAATGAGAACCTCATGACAATCAATAAGAGAATCGATAAGGGATCAAATAATGGAATTGGAATCTCTAAATTCTCATTAATTCCCATTCCTAATCCCTACCACCACACAAACCAGTTTTTGTATGCACTTGCACACACAAACCACTTCTTATTCTAGACATGTGTCATGAGATGGATTTCGAGTTTGTGTGTGCATGTACGAGTGGGTGTACGTGTGTGTGTCGTAATTGAGTGTGCCTCACGTGGGTGATTGCTCGGGCCTCCTACATGTCTAAAGTAATCAAAAGGAGTGAATGTAACCTTGGGGCAGTTTACAGGAGCTCAGCACACAGACACACATATTAGTCTCAAACACATCTATAAAGAATATAATGTACACGCTTACAGGTATAGATTAAAAAGCTCACATATGTGGTCTTCAAGTACTATATGCAAATGCTTAGTTTTACTGGGGGCTTTGAGAGGTAGAGCAGCAGAATGACAATGAGCTGAAACAGGAGGTGCCACCCTGTGTGGCAACTCTGACACTGTGCCTGTCGGCCACATGTTACGGTACAGCAACTTAATATTAAATTTAAATTTCCCTCCATTAAGCCAAGTGTTCACAATTTTTTTTCTTGTCCTGTCCTACTTTTTTTTTTTTTTTATCACTTGCACTATTTTATAATATCTGTTTTCATCTTGTATTTTCTTGGTGTGTGTTCCAGCCACCCACTCCGGGTCTGTGTGTGCTCCTTTGGTCACTTCCTGTTTTATTCAGCAGTCTCCTTTCTCATGTGTCCAGTTGGTTTGCTTCTTGTCTTTACTCACTGCTGTGATTTGCTGCTTTTTCCTAATTGTTTTCACCAATTAGGTTCCACTTGTGTATTTAGCCTCTGTTTAACCTCAGTTCTTTCTGTGTGCAGTGCACCCATGTTTTTCCCATATGTTCTTCATAGTATGCCTTTCAGTACACTTAGTTTGTTATTTGTTAAGTTTTTGTACATATTTTCTGTATTTTAGATTGTTTTTTATAACGTTTCACTCCCTGTTTGTTATTTGTTTTTCTTCTTTGCTGTTGTCTGCTAGGCAGGGCAGCATCAGCACCAGAGATGCCAGTAGGATTAACAAATTGATTCACAAGGCTGGAACCATCACTGGCCAGAGTTTGGAGCCGTTTGAGTCAGTGAGGGACAGGAGGTCACTGAACAAACTGCTCTCCATTATGGACAACCCATCACAACGCCCTCCACACTACTAATGAAGCAGAGCTCCTTATCCCTCTGACTGATTCAACCCAATTACCATAAATAACGCTTCAGGAAATCTTCCTGCTGTTCTCTGTCAGACTGTATAAAAACTCTTTGTTCTATGACAGATGAACACACCTGTCAGGTATAAGAAATCTGCCAATTTTAATTCATACTTAGCAGTATTATCATGATATAAATGCTGCATGCTCTTTGAATATGTGGGACTCAAACTAAATTCATCATATATATATACACAACAAGAGTTTTCTTTATCTTCATGTATCTCCATGATTGAACTCATTAACTTTAGTCATTGTTATCTGATTTATAAAACAACATTTCCTGGATGATTCAATTTAAAACCTGGTGATGGTAACATCATTTAGGATAATTCTGTCAGTGACAGCTGAGAGTAATGGAAACAGTGGAGGAGGTGAAGGCTGACAGGTAATTGACTCCAACCTCTCTGTGTGACAGAGGAGGGGGATGTGTGGGTTTCTGTGTATTTACCACAAGTGTTATACTTGAGATCAATAACCTATATAATGGCTGTTACCGCAATCTTTTATTAGGTCAAGGTATTTTTCACTGACATTCCTGGTCTTTTTTTAATATATACACATACACACACACTCAGACATAAACCCCCAAATCCTTCTCATGCAGTCCTTTGCAGAGGTTTCAGGAAATGAAGCATGGTACATTAGTTGGAACTGAGGACATTTTAGCCAAGTACCAAGATCTAAATCTTAGTCTTATGTCTGTGTCCACCACAGGTGTAAACATACACATACATATACACTTACCTAGAAGTCATTAAATTAATATAAGTATTTGCCATAAGGGAAGCTTGTCCTCAAAATATGAGTAAACGTGTTAATGTCCCCACAACATTAGTAATACCAACACACACACACACACACACACACACACACACACACACACACACAC